TTTACAACACAAACGACAGCACTAATTTAACCTTAAATATTTACAAAACCGCCAACCACTTCACCTCACTAACGTTTTCGCTAACTACTTCACTAATGTAAAAAATAAACGTTCTCACTTACAAAAGTATTGCAACTCCTCCCATTGCTGTGCTTCACATAACAGCTCATAATCTTCTGACTCACTTTCTTCTTCATATAGGTCAAAATCACTGTCATAGTTTATACCTGTAAGTTTTGACAAAGCTAATGAAACACGCTTACCGTTTGTATCTATTGCTTGTATATATCTTCCATAATGCTCTTTGTCATAAACGCTCAAACTAACTTTACCCTTTCTCCCTCGTATCTGATAGAATGTATTTTCACGAGGAACGAAGAACAAATTCTTGAACTCATGACCGTTGTAGTTTGTTATCTCAATAGTTTTCGTCATTTATATAAAAATAATTTTAAAAAATAAAATAAAACTAACGTTAAAAATTTCTCATAACATAAACGTTCTCATTGCTTTATAACTCTCTTCCTTGGTTTCTTTTTAGTTGCTTTCTTTACGTCCGTCTCCAACTTGACTGTCTTTCTTCTTCGTCCGTAATGATACCAATTACTTCCACCAGTCAATGGGTCAAATGGTCTTTCGTAAGGGTTTCCATACATTCCATAGGGACCATACGGAAGAACTGCTGGTGGAAGTTGTGGAGAAGAAACATTTTCTTTAGTTCCATCGACTCTATTTAAATGCATTGTTTCACCTTTCATCTGGTCATTAAAGTCTTTTGCATGTTTTGCAAACTCATCGTCCTTTCCTAAAGCATTTTCAGACTCAGTCGCAACCAAATTGGATGCTTTATTTATGAGCCCTATTTTATTTAATCTTAACTTCTTTGCAACCCAGCCTCCAATCTTTCCTTTATTTGCATCTAATGTCTTCGAAACTCTTCCTCCACTCATTTTATTTACTGCGTCATAAGCCCCAAGTGCTTTTGCTCCAAATGCTAATGCTTTTGTTCCCATTGCGCCTAAAGCTGCCCAAGCTACCATTTACACCATATTAAAATCATCTCTCTTCAATATTATCTCATAAAAGTTCTCGTTACTGGAGAAAGTCAATGAAACATAAACATTCTCACGGGCTTCGCCTTCACCGCTTTGCGGTCTATCTAACTTCTTTCTTATCTCATCTATTCGCTTCAAAATGTCTGAACAATTGCTAACATCTTCTACAACAGTTATTTCATCATGAATGACCTTCAAGAACAAACTCATTTAATATGCTATTAAAATCATCTCAATAATGAGTCCATCCTTTCCATCTTTAGGTAGCACAACATCTTTCATTGAAGAAGGTTCAACAAGTCTTATATTAAACTTACTGACAAAGTTTGTTATACTATAATGCTTCGGTGGCGAATACATGTAGTTTGAAAGACATAATATAGATTCTTCAGCAAATTCACTTATACTGGATTTTATAACAATGTTCTCACGAGACCAAATGCCACCAATTGACAATCTTGTAAGCAATCCTGCTGAACCTTCAACTGTAAACGTCGATGGTAACATTCCACGAAGGTCATCTATTGACATCTTTGAGTCACTGAATTTAAATATTTTCTTAAAGCAATCGTCATTATCTAACCATGCAATAGCTTTGAAGTTTTCATTCGAATATACATCTGCTTCATTAAATGTAAAACCTGACTTCTTTGCAGAGACGACTTTAAAATCTATTGCATTTGTTTCAAAATTATATGCTATGGTAACTTCTGAAGGTAATGGATGTCCTTCCGCAGTAAGTTGTTCTCTCACTACCGTTTGAAGCTTTGTGTTAAAAACTTTCATGTCATCTCCTGTGTCTAGGTTCACATACACAGCAACAGGAAAACTATCTTGCTTCTTTGTTTCATCATTATACCTCAAAACATTAAAGTTCTTCAATAATATTGTTCTTCCTGCTGGAATACTTCGAACCTGTCTGATTTCAATAGCTTTCTCACCTCCTACATACTCTACCCAGTGTCTTGGATATTCATAAGTATACTGACTTTCTTGAATTTTGGTAGGTTTCATCATAACGTGTTCATAGTATATCTTTATACTCTTGTCAGTTAGACTCGGTGCTATGTTCTGAATATTTCTGACTTGCATTTTTAATGGAGATAAAATGAAGCATTTAATACATGACGTAGATGAAGACATGAATGAAACTACAGACAAACTTAACTCTTCTCTCATTCTTCCTTTCAGCAAAGATTATGAATTCTGTTCAAATGGTGTTTATTTCTATTGTGGAAAGATGGGGTCAGGAAAGACATTTAACCTCATTCGTCATATACTCATAACAGAGCGTTTAGGAAATGACTCATATTATGACCAAATCATTATATCAGCAACTTCAGACTCTATAGACTCAACAGCGAAAACATTCATGAGTAAAGTTCAAGCATCTGTCGTTAAAGTTCCAGATAGCGAACTCATTGAATTTCTTCAACGTTACATTCGACGTAAGAGGAAATATTATGCCATCGTTGAATTTATACAGTCAGGAATGCAAAAGACTTCTGAGGAGATGGAAAGAATTATTGACAAACACCACTTACGTCAGTACTCAGGAGTTTACGATATGAAACGACTGACAAACTACATTCTATCAAAACTTTCAAAATACCCCTTCAAAAAATATCCTTCAAACACTCTGCTCGTTTGCGACGACTTCGCCGGAAAAGGTTTAGTTTCAAAGCCTGACTCGCCATTAGCTAACATCATAACTAAAGTCAGACATTACCACTTAACTGTAGCAATACTTATGCAAACATGGCGTTTCCTTGCTTTAAACATAAAACGTCTCATAACTGACTTCGTTATCTTTCAAGGTTTCTCACGTTATGATATTGAACTCATTTGGAAACAGTCAGGTATAACATTACCTTTTGAAGAAATTTGGGAAGCATATAAGTCTCTCATCTCTCCTCGTTCATACCTTGAGATTCATATCATGACTAATACCATTAAAGTCAAAAATATTCCATGGGAACGACCAACATTGTTTTAAATCTTATGCTTTAATTGACTGATGGTAAACAAATTCCATGCATCTCTGTCGCCATTTCTGTTAATATTTTTGCTGTCATTCATATCATCCACTTCCCCATCCGTTAACTTTTGAGGATATGTGTTAGAATAGCTGTTCTTAAATGAAGGCTTTTCACCTTTGAGAGCATAAACTCTATAACTTTCTGCATACTTTATGTTTGAACCTCCTGAGCCATCATTGACATAAATTTTTATAGGCTTCCACCCTTTGTTCATGTTTCTGCTTCTTCCCTTAGCTCTTTTGTTCAGAAGTTCTACATCTTTATACACAGCACCTGCCTCAGTGAATTCAACAATATTTTCATTCGTTAGCTTTACATTCAAACCCTTGTCGAGTATATTGTTCATTTCATACATATAAAAGGTTTTTATTCTATATGAAATGAGAAGTAAGTCCATCTTAGCTGGTGCCGTTAATGTTCCAATTGAACCAACATCAAATGTTGACTCACGAACGACAAACAATATTGTCATAAAGAACTATAGTTCAGAGTGTTTGAAAGAAAAAGAACCAGAACTTAAGTCGGTGAATTTAAACACAGCTTCAAACGCTAACGCTACATCAAATGTTAAGTTAGAGTATCCACCACTGGACCAAGTTCTTTCAAGAGGATAAGAAGCTTTTGACAAATCTTATAAGCAAGAACCAAATAATTCTTACAAAGGAGGACCTTGAGAATGTTATATCACGAATAACAGGAAAGCAATGTGTCATTGACTATCTCGACCCCGAAATCGAATGCTGTGGTCAAACGCCAATATTCATGAAAATAGGTAACATCCGCATCATTGAAACACCAGGTACTCCAGGAGTTGAGTTTAAGTATAGATATTCGAACGAGTATACAAAACTATCTACTTACTATAAGCTTTGTTTGAAATATGTTTTAGTAAATTAAAACAGTCAGTTAGTCAAAAAAAATTCAAGTTAGCAATTTGTAATATCTATCCAAAACTTCTTCAACACTATTGAACTCATCTTCATAATGCAAACCTAATCTTATTGACTTGGTGCAGTTTTCACTAACACAATATTTTTCTGTTCTCTTGACTGACATAACTAACTCATTTGTTTCATCAAACAGCAACAACCAAAGTTCATGACCTAATACATAACATTCATACTTTATATTTTTAGCTCCGAGTTCTCTTGTAAGCTGTTGCATTTAATATTTTCTAAAAAGTCAACTTCAACAGTCATTCGCACTGGTGCCTTCAGTTCTACAGGCTCGCCCTGAAAGTCAACAAGTCTGAATTGCATGTCTTTCAAATTATGTGGACTAATGCGAACCCATTTACCTAAATGAGTTGCTATGACAGGAACGTTTGGAATGAACATTGAATTTACTTCATAACAGAAAGACTTATATTCTACTGAACCTTTACTATTAACTCCTGAAATACCTGTGACATTAGCTATTTTTGACTCAATGTATAAACAATTGCCATAACATACGTATGGAACAGATTTCATCTCAATCGTTTTGTCAACACTTTTCAAAGGAAATGTCATATGGTATGCTCCCAGAAGCAATTGAACTCTATGACTCATTCGTGTTATCTTAAACTCTTTCTCGCTGCTGAACTTCAATGTTCCCTCAGAAGAGAGTTCGACATCTATGTTGTCAATAGTTTCTTCATTTATGAGAGCATCTATGACTCCAGCAATTTTATCTATTCTATACTCTGCTCTGTTAGGAAATGTTATAAAACTTCTTTTGTCATCTATTTCAATCTCTATGAAATCTGTTTCATCTGTTATGACAAAAGTTGCGATAGTATTGAAGTCAACAACTCTGAAAGCAAGTGCTTCATTCTGAAGACCTAAGTTTGTTTGTAGCTTTACTGTTCCGTATTCGTTTGGGTCAGTACTTTGCAAATAGAACAACATTTTATTCTCATTAAAATATGACTATTGCTGTATATGCGTATGAAACAAATGAAGCAAGAAGAGCACATGAATTAGTAAACGAAAACTCAACTTTAACCATTGAAGGTAATGATTTAGTCATTGACGATGGAAAGACTAAAAGAGTCATTGACTTCGATACTTTTAACACTTATGACCCATTCATTACAACAAGTAAAGTTCCTATCATAAATGATGGAACGGTGCAATATATAAATTCAACAGTAGATGCCTCATTAGTGAAAGTACTAAATGTTCTCATTGAATTGTTAAAGAGCTTTCGATTTGACGACAACATTAAATGCCTAAAGAATTTAGTCATGAATGAGAAACAAATTCTCGGCGTTGCTGGTAGCAGTAATGATGTACACCTTATGACCTTAGAATATTATAACGAACATAAAGATGAACTGAAAGGAGAGAAGGGTGACACTGGACCTCAAGGAATACAAGGTCCTCAAGGAATACAAGGACCTCAAGGCGAAAACGGTTTGGATGGAAAGGATGGAAAGGATGGAAAAACTGCTAAATCATGGATATGGGACCTTATAAATACTGGTTTAACAGCTGCTTCATATGGAGTTCTTCAATACCAAATCGGAAAGATATGGGCTGTACTTGGTGAAGAAGCTTTAGATGACGTCAAAAATGCTTTGAACTTCATTTCAAATGGTTCTGATACTATTAAAACTTTATCTGGTTGGATGCAAGAAACAAGGAGTCAAATAGATACTGTAAGACGTATAGCAAACAATGCACGTACGGGATTGGATACTTTACGAGAAGCACAAAATACACTAAAGGAAGCAAATGATATTCTTGGCTCAGTATCAGACATGCATGAAGATTGGCTTAAAGGTATTGACAAATCTTTAAAAAATCACAGTCAGTCTATTGCTGACTACAAGAAAAGTATAGATTTTTTACATAGTGCTATGGACGTACATGATGGAAGTATAAAGAACTTACTTAATGCTAACAATAACTTACCAGGAACTATTAAAACATTCATAAAGTCCTTTGTAAAGCCTGGTGCTCTAACATTTAGGTCTTTGAGAGCAAGAGCATTGAAGTCAAGAGATGCAGAAACTCCAACAGAACCTACAGAGGAGCCACCAAAACCAACGGCAAATGAAATATTGTTCGAGTATTTTCCAAGATACTCTGTCCTCATTGCATACATTCAAGAAATACTTAAGAAAGGTGACTTGACTTTGGGGGATGATGAAAGTTCTGTATATCTTTCGTTCCAATTCCAAATAGCAGAACTTTTGAGACAGATATGCTTAATGTATGACAACATCTCTGATTTCACAAGATATGACGACGACCATGACCCCGAACACGGTGAAGAAGAAGTTTTACAAACATCCATTAAGACAGGAAAGGTTTTAACTCAAAGTCTCATTATTGACACCAAAGATGGCGAAGTGGACGTTCTTCAAGAGCTGAAGAAAAATACTTCTTCGGGAGGTGGTGGTAGGCATGAACTTGAAATAAATGAGATAGAAGAGAAATTAGCCGAAAAAGCAGACAAAAACCATGTTCATTATATAAGTTCAGATGAACAGATTATAACGGACTATCATGGATATTTAACACAGGGTGAAAAAGTGAATACGAAAAATGTTAATGAAAGAAGATATAAATTCATTCGTGCTAAAGGTTATGACATATGTTGTACTGTACAGTATGACACAGGTATAGCACCACAAGCATTTGGTTATAACGCTGAAATTTATGCTTCATACTTCTTTGTTAACGGTGTATTAGTTGAACCAAGATTTACTTTGAGAGTTAAGTCAAAAATAACTTTTGAAGATGCTATTAAAAGTAAAGCTGACAAAACAGAACTTGACGCAACGAACAAAGTTTTGAAATCTCATAAACACAATATCTCCGATATAAATGAGCTTCAAACTTCTTTAGACAGTAAAGCAGACAAAGATGAACTAGACGCAACGAACAAAGTTTTGAAATCTCATAAACACAATATCTCCGATATAAATGAACTTCAAGCTACATTAAATAGTAAAGCAGATAAAAATCATACACATAACTCCTTCACAACCGTTGCTATAGAAAACATTGAAGGAACGATTGGCGGAATTGGTGGAGATGCTTTATATTTTAAACCTCCTAACTTTCCACAAGGTTTAACATCGAATGAAAACATAACAACGAAGCAAGAAATTAGATGTAGAAATGTTTATGTCATGGATGATGAAAATAATATTAAATTCACTGCTCAAAATTTATATGATAAGAAAGCCGACAAAACTTATGTAGATGAAAATTATGTGAAGAAGTCAGAAGTAAATGAGGTGGTTAATGGTAAAATTAATGAAATATTGCAAGCTATATATCCTATCGGTGCTTTATATACATCAATGAATTCAACAAATCCGGCAAGTGTTTTAGGTTTTGGTACGTGGCAGCAGATTGTAGATAAATTCCTCTATTGTGCTAACTCATCAAATCAAACAGGTGGTTCAAAGAAAATTTTAGAAGCAAACCTTCCACCACATAAACATACAGGAACTACAAACACAACAGGTAATCATTCACATTCAATGACAAAAAGAGGTTATATAAATCTTGCGGCAGGTTCTGATAGACGAGGTATGAATAGATATGATATTTCAAGTGACCCAGTAGATTCAAGCACGGGTATTTTCTGTGAAACCGCAGGAAATCATTCACACACTTTCACAACAAATTCAACAGGCTCGGGTGAAGATTATATGCCACCTTATGTGACTGTATTCACATGGTACCGCGTTCAATGAAATCTTTATTTTTACTTAAATGAGTTTAAAAGAAGTATTCGAACAACATCCATGGAGGTCATTTAAGAAATTCAATGAAGCTGCAAAGAGTTGGGGATTTACTAACAGAGCTGAAGTGAAAAGGTTCTTTGACAAAAATGTTGTACATCAAACAAAAATAAATCCTTACGACTACTTTTTACCAATTTACTCCAACACTCCAGACGCATACCAATTTGACACACTCATTCAAAGCAGAAAAGGAGGACATAAACCATTCCTCATCTTCATAAATGTTAACACTCGTAAAGCATATGCATATCCAATGAGGAACAAAGGAACTCGTGAAGTGTTAAGAGTTTTACAAAAGTTTGCAGCAGAACATAACCCAAGTACTTTAACATCAGACCAAGACAGTGCATACCTCAGCAACGAAATCACAGAATTTCTCATTAAGCATAACATAACTCACTACACTACTGAAGACCATAACCATAACATACTCGGTATCATTAACCGCTTCATAAGAACGCTCAGAGATTTAAACCAAGAGCGAGACTTTACCGAAGAAACAATGAAACATTTCATAGAAGTTTACAATTCCTCAACACATTCTAAAACAGGACATACACCAAATTCAATGACACAACAACAAGAAGAAAAGTATATACAAAAGAAACGAAGTCAAACACAAAATATCAGAAATTCAACACAATTTACTCTCATTCCTGGTACAAAAGTTTGTGTAGTTCTTGACGACAAACCGTTGACAAAGAAACGTTTAAGGTTAAGTCGAAATTATTATATCGTAGACTCTACGCAAGGTAATGGATATCTTATAAAAGCTGCTGACGACTCCATAGCATTTTACCCTCGTCATAAATTAGTTGAAAGTAGTAATGGCGAACTTGCTGAAACCATTGACGAAGCAAAGCGAGGAGTGGTTATTGAAATACTTGGCTACAACATAAACGATGACACTTATAAAGTAAGATATGAAGGAGGCGTTGAAGATGTTATACCATCTAAGAACTTGAGAGAGTCAAAGCCGACACATCTGGGACCATTAGAGCGGGAGTATTGGAAAGACAAAAATATGCCAGAAAGAATAAGAAAATTCTTCTAAACTTTTTCATTAGATGTAAATCAGACATGAACGAGAACAGTCATGATATCATTAATGGTACCATTTATTTTAACATAAAGACTCAAAGTGGTGGGCATAACCATGACCCAAAATAATGTTTAGGGTAGAAGGTTAGATCTACCCCGTTTTCTAACCTCTTTTCTACCCTCATGAATTTTCATGAATTTTCGTGAATTTTCATGAATTTTCGTGAATACTACCCTCATTCCTACCCTTGTTTGGTGGGAATGTCGACATTAAAAGTGTGACAACATGACATTTTGACAACATTTACGGAAATGAATTGTTTTTGGGGTAGATGGGTATATCTAACCTCTTTTCTACCCTCATGAATTTTCATGAATTTTCTCAAGATAGAAAAAATAACGCTAGTTTTATTTTTTTCTAACTTTTTATTTTGTATAAAAGATATGATTTCAACAATCGACACAACAACACTTCAAGCCGCGAACGGCGGGACTCTGTTCACAACAACAGCACCAAACTTGTTAGTCATGAATCCAACATCTATGTTAGTTGAGATGAAAAACTTCATTCCTTCTTCATATAGTTTTGGAACAGAAATACAAAGAATAAAGCAAGAACTTTTAACAAGTAATTTAGACTGTTGTGTGAAAGATGAACAAAATGAACAGTATCTTTACGACATGCAGGACATTATTGACCATTTACCCAAATTGCCTGAAATCCAACAACAAAAGCTCACTATTCCTGAATTCGATGAAATAGAAGTGAAACCAACTGACTCAGTAGAAATAAAGAAGTTCATACGTAAAGTAAATTATGAGTTTCTAGGATATCATTGCAACCATAAGGTTATGGACAAAGATTGTGATATGGTATATAAAAACATCTCTGACATATATAAATCGGAGGAGTTTAAGACATACGACAACTTTGTTTCATTAGTTGCAGAATGTGTATGGCAGATAAGAGATAAAGATAAAAGATGTAAAGTATGGAATGAACAAATAAAACCAACAGCTTTTGAGTTAAAGAAAACCATTGACGCCTTAGTTGTTCTAGCAGGTCAAATTTCAATGTATAACGCAAAAATGAACCCACAATGTTCTAAATGTAAAGCAGCAATGAGGAAATATAACTACTCCGTCAAAGAGATAGAACGTATGAGAAACGACTATGCTGACTTAAAGAAAGAAGTAGAGAAACCAGCAGAAGATAAAATGGACATGTTAGCATTTCTGAACAAAAACTATCCGACAGTTGACGATTTCCTATTATCTGATGTCAAGAAGAAATATAAAGAAACCTTCGGCATAGTTAAAATTTTTGATATCCTTCGTGAAGAAATAGAAGCTACAAAACTGTTTAGAATCTCACAAATTCATAACGTTTACCATGTAAAACGGTTATGAATAATGAGGGTAGAAATGAGGGTAGATCTAACCTTCTACCCTAAACATTATTTTTGCTGAATTCAGCACAAAATTCTGAGTAAAATGGCATATGGCACGTGTCAAACCGTTGAGTTTTCACAAATTCATAACGTTTACCATGTAAAACGGTTATGAATAATGAGGGTAGAAATGAGGGTAGAAATGAGGGTAGATCTAACCTTCTACCCTAAACATTATTTTTGCTGAATTCAGCACAAAATTCTGAGTAAAATGGCATATGGCACGTGTCAAACCGTTGAGTTTTCACAAATTTTAAAAAATAAAGTTAGATTTTTTTTTATTTATTTTTTTATCCTGTATATAAGAAACAGTAATGTTAAAGGTTGAGTTTGAAACAGTTAGAAAGATAGACAATGACACCAAAGTGGTTAGAATAGGTTATTTAAACGTAAGATACTCAAAGAAATACAACAAATATTCTTTGTCAGACATTATATCTCCATCTGGAAAGAAAACAAACGACTGGGTTAGAAATGCTTCAACTCAGAAAATTTTGACAAGAAATCCTGAGCTTATGATATCAGTAGCATTTCATGGAACAAGAGCATATCTTATAGACAAAAGTCTTATACCAATAGTTTTGTTATGGATTGACCCAGTTGTTGGATATAACTTCATAACTTATGGTTCATTCGATACGGAACGTTGCAGTGAAGGCTTACTTTACATCGTTCAGAAACCGAAGGACTTCAACACAAAAAGATATAAGATAGGAAGGACATATAATATAACTCAAAGATATGACAGTACAGTCAATAGAGTCAAGGTTGTGTTCGTTAATGATATGAGAGCTGCTGAAACAGAACTGCTTGAAGTTTTTGAGAAAATGTATGGTGCTCCCACGAAAGGTAAAGAAACTTTCGAAGTAGATGAGATAGATAGTGCTATAAAATTATTTGACGAAGTTGCTGAAAAATACATGTAAAGCGTTTATTTTTGGTCTTTTGTGAAAGTCAGAAAATAACGCCAATTTTTTCTAACAAAATTTTTTATCTTGTATGTAAGAACAGCAATGTCAACATCAGTTATCGTTCATGAAGCCATTAATGAAGAATATGAATACATACAGTATAACAAACAATTGAGACTCATTCGTTCAGTCAAAGATGACATGTACCAAATGCAAAGTATTTTGACAGCATGTTTTGCTCCAGAGAATAAAACACCAAATGAATGGTTTGAATTAAATAGCACTCATGAACTTCTCAGCGAGTTTGAACATGCAGAACTTAAAAAGATGTACCAAGACAGACAAAACTTACCAACACATCTGAAAGGTATATATGTTCATAAGTTCCTAGTTAGTTCAATAGCAATGTGGGCTTCACCTCGTTATGCTTGTTATATTTTCGTGAATTCAGCACGAAGTGAAGGTTTGCACTTCGTCAAAATGTGGGCTTCACCTCTACCCTAAACATTATTTTTCGTGAATTCAGCACGAAGTGAAGGTTTGCACTTCGTCAAAATGTGGGCTTCACCTCGTTATGCTTGTTATATTTTCGTGAATTCAGCACGAAGTGAAGGTTTGCACTTCGTCAAAATGTGGGCTTCACCTCTACCCTAAACATTATTTTCGTGAATTCAGCACGAAGTGAAGGTTTGCACTTCGTCAAAATGTGGGCTTCACCTCGTTATGCTTGTTATATTTTCGTGAATTCAGCACGAAGTGAAGGTTTGCACTTCGTCAAAATGTGGGCTTCACCTCTACCCTAAACATTATTTTCGTGAATTCAGCACGAAGTGAAGGTTTGCACTTCGTCAAAATGTGGGCTTCACCTCGTTATGCTTGTTATATTTTCGTGAATTCAGCACGAAGTGAAGGTTTGCACTTCGTCAAAATGTGGGCTTCACCTCTACCCTAAACATTATTTTCGTGAATTCAGCACGAAGTGAAGGTTTGCACTTCGTCAAAATGTGGGCTTCACCTCGTTATGCTTGTTATATTTTCGTGATGTTAGATATGAAGACTAAGCAAAAATATATTTTTGCTTAAATGACGTCAGGGTCAATTTCTTCAACCATTTCACTTCCTTCGTCAATGTCAATAGAAGCTTCTTCAACCTTTGGTAAGAACTTTTGTATAACATCTTTATTCGTTATTGTCTTCAGAGATGAAGGATAATATTTCACAGATGTTTCACCCTTCTTATATTCTTTCTGTTCGGAAAGATTCATAGCAATACTGAAGAAGTCAATGTTGGAGTTCTTTATAACAGTATAATGAGTATCTTTGACATTCACGAAGAAACCCTTTTGTTTCAAAACTACTGCTAACTTTTGTGAAGTATAACGTTTGCGGTCAATGACAATAGCTAATGGTCTGACATACTGACCGAACTTAGATTCTTTCACAAACTTCTTGTTCAAGATAACATTGACGTTTGAGGCATTATTGAACTCATTCTTGATGGCATTAGCGAGAGCATTGTATGAAAAGAACTTGCAATCTTGCATGTGTTTCATTAAAATAAAAATATTAAATTATTTTGAAAAATAACTTAAAAAAAATCTAATTTTTTTTTCTAAGAAATTTTTTTTATTTCCTACTAAAGATGTATCGGAAGTTGTCTAAGTTAGAACACTCGGAAATAAAACAACTTCTTACAGAAGCTAACATAGATGTTGCAAAACATTACGCGACAAACAAAAAAGCACTCGCTGACTTCATTAAAGACTACAATGGTGCTATAACTTATGATAGAATTCATGAGTTCATAAAGCTGCAACGCGGCGAGGACGAAGTCCATGCAAGAACTTTTCCTTTAAATGACGTTGCTATTGACTTATATCATAGACGTTCAATACCACATGAAGTAAGAAGAGAAATGTATGACATAACAAATGCAAACGTTGGTGAAACAAGAAGAAGAGACGACACACTGAAACAACAGAGAAGAGAGATGTTTAAAAGTGCTATAGAACAAGTTCGCAAAGCTAATAATGTCATTCGTTCCATTGACGACAAACCAAAAGAAGGTGAGAGATGGTTAAAGAAAGATGAAGAAAATAGGAAGAGGAATGTGAAGTCAGGCAATAGACTCATTGACTTTAACATCGAAGCTTTAGATGAACCAAACAGAGAATATTTACACAAACATTTCGGTAAGGTTTTCATGAGACTCTTAGAGAAAATTAAAATAAACTCACAACAGAGATGGATGGTATGTTATAAACTTGGTGGAAAGTATGAATGTTCTACGTTAAACCTCAATAATATTGGAACATTACTACATCAGCTCTTGAAGGAGAACTTTATATCAGAGATAGAAGCAAATGCTGCAGGTATTGTTGAAATGCACTATGACTTCTTCTTGACAAACATAAAGAATCTTACCGAAATAAAGATGTATGATTTAACAGAATATGAAGGCTTAACGATGTCAGATGTAAAGAAAGGCAAACCAAAAAAGAGACCATATAGAGATGAAAGCACACTGACAAATGACCAGAAAGCCATTTTGGAAGCTCTTAAGCAAACAGGAAACCCAGCACTTATAGAAAGCTTTTGGAAAGATAATGGTGAAAAGAAGTTTTATAAGAAGAGAAGCGGTCAGTTCTGGAAGTATCTTTGCACATTACCTATAAATCTTGAACGCTACCAAATCTTCAATGAACTGAACAAAAGAACTGCAACACTTATGACAGAGGACAATTGTTTCGTTTATGCTTGCATTCAGGCTGGAGTAAATGAAGAAACTATTGACCACATGAGAGAAGTCATTCGTGTTAGAGACTTTCCTCAAAGTAAAGTACAAGAAATTTCTGACGCAACAGGTATAGCATTCAATGTTACCATTGGTTATTTCAATGACTCAAGACATAATGAAATAAAGAGATATATACCAAAAGAATGCGAAACTGTTAGAACTATTGACTTACTTCTTGTTGAAGACCACTACATGCTAAATGAAAGATTACCAATGACAACATACTTCATTCGAAACTATAAAGAAATTCTCAAAGCTTGTGGTGGAATGAACATTGAGAAACAGATGAAGATTTATACAAAGAGAGAAGATAAATATGTAGTTCGTTATGATAGAACAACACCGTTATGGGATGTTATGAAAACATTGTGGGAGTGCAAATATTTCGAACCTATTTCTTATGGAGAACTTTTCACATATACTACTGACTTATATAAACAGAACCTTGCACCATTTAAAGATTTGACATATGCTCCAAAGTATTGTGTACAACTGAAGAAGAAAGCAGAGTCAAAAGAAGTAAATAAAGCTAAATGTAAATTCATACCTGAGCACGTTTTCTTTGCTGACTTTGAGTGTAGCACAGACGGCTTTCATAAAGCTTTTAACATCTGTTACGACAGTGAAGATGGTTCAGTGAGTGAAAGCATTTGGGGTCAGAACTGTGCAACAGAATTTTTGGAACGACTTCCTGACAAGAGTTTAATATATTTCCATAACCTCAGTTATGACATAAACTTCATCTTAAGACACATGACAGAAGTGAAAGGAACTCCCATCATTAAAGGTTCACGAACAATGCAAATAACTGGTTTATATAAAGGACGGGCAATTATTATAAAAGACTCTTACAGTGTTATAAATAAGAAGCTTAAACTATTTCCTGCTATGTTTAACTTACAAACAGGACCGAAAGAAGTATTTCCATATAACTACTACAGCAGTGTTTTGTTAGCAAATGACAACAGAACTGGTGTCATTTCTGAAGCATGTAAGTTTGTCAAGGATGCAGATACATTCATGAAAAACATAGATTTCATCAAAGGTTGCAGAATAGATGAGAACCACTTCGACTTAGAAAAATATAGCACGTTTTACTGCAAACAAGATGTAAGAATTTTAAGAGAAGGTTTTGTAAAGTTCCGCAATGACTTATTGAAAGAGTTTGATTTAAACGTTTATGACTACGTTAGTATTTGTTCTATTGCTAACAAATTGTTTGAGAACAGAGTATACTTCCCGAATGGAAATCTTTATGACCTCTCAAATAAACCAAGAGAATTTATTTCGAGATGCATTCAAGGTGGAAGATGTATGTTGTCAGATAACATGAAACAAAAGAGCAAAAAGAAACTCATTGCTGACTTCGACGCTGTTTCATTATATCCTTCAGCTATAGCAAGACTTTATACTTTAGAAGGTATTCCAAAAGTATTGAAGGAAGAAATGTTAAGCACAGAGTATCTCATGAGACATTTATTCGATGACGACCAAAAGGAACCCGTTGGTGAAAAGTTTATGTCTGGCTTCTTTGTTCTCATTAAGATAAAGAGATTGGTATACCCAGACACTTTCCTTTAATAGTTTGTGACCCTGAACTAAATCCAGAACTTAACGTTCCAAGAAGTTCAAACACTTGCTGTCTCATGTATGTTGACCATATAACATTACAAGACCTCATAAAATATCAAGGTGTCAAATGTGAAGTGTTGCAAGGATACTATTACGATGGAAACAGAGATATGAGAATAAGAGATGAAGTAAAGAAGTTGTTTGAGTTAAGGTTAAAGTATAAGAAAGAAGAAAACCCCTTACAAGAAATTATAAAACTCATTCTGAACAGCATTTATGGCAAAACTATTCTATCTCCTATTGAGTCAAAAATAACCATAGTAGATGACAAAGATGCTATAAGATATGCTATAAGAAATTACAACCATATAGTGAAGTTCGAAGGTTTGGATGGTTCAGATAAAACTATTTTCAAGCTAACCAAAAGCATTTGCAGACACTTTAACTTCTGTCCACTTGGTGTTAATATTCTGTCTATGTCAAAACGTATTATGAATGAAGTATTCTGTACTGCAGAGGACATGGGCTTGTATATAGCCTATCAGGATACCGACAGTATGCACTTATATAATGAAGACATTCCAAAGCTTGCAGCAGAGTTTAAGAAGAGATATGGTCGCGAACTTATAGGAAAGAACCTTGGTCAATTTCATAGCGACTTTGCAGAAATCACAAAAGATAAACAAAGTTTAGCTTATAAAAGTATTTTCTGTGGAAAGAAGACCTACATAGACTTACTCACTAACGATTTAAATGAAGTTGCATTTCACTGCAGAATGAAAGGCGTGAAGCAAGATGTTATTGCTTTAACCGCTAATGAAATGTTTCCTGAAGCTATACAATGCTATTACAATGAAGATAAAGGTTTAATGGTTCCGCAAGGAACATATGACAAAGACTCTGAGTTCAGTGTTATGAAGTTATATAAAGCACTTCATGACGGTCAAGAGATTGCATTCGACTTATGTAAGTCATGTCAACCTTGCTTTGCTGAAAAGTTCAACTTTTCAATAACGATTAAAACAAGCTTTATTCGTAAGTTGAAGTTCTGAGGTCATTCGTGATAAAAATAAGCCGCTAGCGGCAAGGGTGAAGCCCATGTGGTCATTTACAATACAGCTATTGTAGAGTTTAACAATTGTGCTTCAATGTATAAACAATCTTTCCCATCTGGAGGTAAGAACACTGGGCACTTATGGTCATGAGTGGAGAACATGTCTATCCAAAACTCACGATTGAAGCCAGTTAATTTATAGTATTTAGGATTTGGCAGTGGTGAAGTTCTTGTATGACCAATGAACTCATTTTCAACTCCCTTACTTAAGTTTGAATATAATATAGCTTGCTTTCTATCCCAAATGCCAGGTGTTACAATCTTTGAAAATTCATTTTTCCTCGGAAGCATTGCATCATAATTGAAAACATTCTTGAAGTCTTCATTGGTTCAGAGATTTGAAACTTATACGTAATGGATTTTCTTTCTTTTTAGCGACTTCATTGAATGGTGAATATATAACAAACTGACAGTCACGTGTTCCATCTTCATTTGCTACAAACTCGTAATGAAAAGCTATAAGTTGTGGCTGACTACCTTCTTCTTTCAGTTGTGCAAGAAACTCACGTAAAGGCTGTAAAGTTTGTACTTCAATATTGAACTTTTTCTCGAACATTTCACTAAATGAAATCATACATTGCAACAATGTTGTATCGTCTTTAAAGTATTTGTATATGTGAATGTTTTGGGCGCTTAAAGACTGTTCGTCATTTTCTATCTCGACTTGAAGTATAAAGTCAACCTTTCTGAAAGCACGTGTTATATACATAGATGTTATGCCAATGTACTTCTCTTCATTTATGTTCACAATCCAGTCTGTTGGAAACTTAAACGTTACTCTGTTCCCCTTTATTTTGACGTCAGGGTTTTCACTACTGAACGCAACAGATAAAGGTATTTGTCTATACATTTAGTTCGGATAAAAATAAACCATTTACTCTTTCTTTGCTTCAGCTTCTTTAGCTTTTTGTTCTTTGCTTTTGCTTCTTCTCTAGCTTTTTCGCCAGCAAACGTGGGTTCTTCTGTCTTCCAGCAGCTAATGCAGCAGTTGTTTTTCACTAAGTTTTCTCTTTGGTCTCTCTGGCTTTTGTTCTTGTTTTTGTTCCTTCAGTTCGGATAAAATTTGCTCACGAATTTCTTTCTTCAATGCTTCAACATCTATGACCCTTGGGTCTTGTCCGTAGGGCTTGTCTGAGTCATTTGACTGCAGATAAAAAACTAAATTAAAACTTTAACCGATGTAAAATGAGCTTGTCAAAATCAGAACGAGAGTCTATTATATTAAATGACGCAAGAGGAATACAACATCCTTTCTATTAAGTCAGAGTAAAGATGGTAAAATATATGTAAGAAAAAGAAAGGTTCCATTAGCGAATGCAGAGAGCGACAACATTAAGGTGCATGGCAAGGGTGAAGCCCATATAAAACCTTCTGTTCAAACTGAGCCACCAAAAGAACAAGAAGAAAAGAAGCCAGATGTACTTTCAATAACGAACCAAGAGCTTATTGCAAAGTTCGTGAATTTCATTGAAAAGCAAACCGAGTCAAAGAACCCTGACCCACCAGTGAAAGAAGTTGAGACAAAAGAGAATGTACAGTTCATTGAAAATGTCAAGAAACAACTTCCACCACGAATACCAAGAAGAAGAGTGAGAATAATGAAGTAAATAGATATTTTTATCTGAAGTAAATACATGCAGAACGAACAGCTTAAACGAATTTACTCCAGCAGAGCATATTCATCAGATTCGCTCATATTTCGATATCATAGACAATGCAGTTCAAATTGGTGACACTAATAGAAAATATTCTGACGCAAAGATTCCATCACAACCTGGAACTGCTAAAGATAACACATGGGTAACATTCAATCTCTCACCTCCTGGTGAAAATATGTTGGACCTTTACAATACATTCATTACGTATAAAATGGAAGGTCAATTTATTGTAGATAAAGAAATTGGTTCAGGTTCCAATAAAACAAACCCACCAGGATTTTGGATTGGTTTCGATGACGCTTTCTATGCAGTTGCTGGATATCAAATCCTTGCAAATGGTCGTATCGTATATTCTCAAGACAACGCAAGAGAAGAAGCATATATAACTTCAAACTCACAAACTACCGAACAAATAAAGAAAGTAGATGTTTTCTCAAAGACTCGACATGAAGATGTATGGAGTCATTCGGGAACATGCAGAACAGGACAAATTGTTAGTGGTCCAATTACAGCAGGAAAATCATTTGATTTTAAGCTTCGTTTAAGAATTCCTGTTAGAAGATTCCTTCCATTAGAAGCTATTCGATTTATTCCAGCTTTTGCAGGAAACATTCAGCTTAAAGTAAAGTTCAGTAGCGACGCCTTACAATGCACATCTATATCTGTAAATGATATCATTGCTTTCAATCCAACTCTTAAAGTTGCATTTGCTTCAGATTCAAATCCACCGACAAATAAATTTGTTCCATGGAATGAACCATTCACTATGATAACGAAGGCAAGAAGCTAGTGGAACAGTTACTATTACAACTGTAACCCAGCAACTATTTCGAACAAAGATGGATTTTAATGAATGTTTTATTCATCCAAAGTCATTCTCTTTAGACCCTAACATTTATACAGAACTTGTAGAACATTATACAAACGAGGCTTTATGTTTTCCTGTTAAAGTTATGGATTGGATTCCTATGGACGGTTCATTCTCAAAGAATACAGATAGTTCAAGTGCAACATTTACAGCAGCTTATACGCCTATTAATGTTAAAAGTATTTGGGCACTATTTAGAAAGAAAGACAACTATTATGTTAATTTTGAGAACCCTAAGTTTAAATATCTTCAGCTTTCCATGGGAGCTTATGGAAATATGCCTGCAGAACCTGAAAAATCATATGGACCTGTATTTTATGAAATGGTTGCGAACGCTTGCAATACAAACAATGATATGATAGGATTTAATGAAGATGTTATGAGGTCATTGGTGGATGATGGTAGTGTGGAACATAAATGGGATAGCTATGACAACACACATTTCTTATGTGGTTTTCCAACAGAAGTGGACTTTTGCTTCCAGCAAGGTCAAACATCTACTGCTCCAATAACATACAAATTGTCTGTTAAAGGACCTATTGAACTAGCAACTGAAAATGTACCAAAGCCACTTATTGGATTTATGAGGGATTGTTGCTTTGCAATACAAGTAAGACAGTCAGGCATACCAATAATAAGACTTGACGACTATAACTTAGCAGCGGACGACAGTGAGGAATAAAGGATGAACGTTTATTTTTAAAGCTTATAAATGAGTTCTTCATCAAGCTCTCGTGAACCTTCACCATCTGTGAAACAAACTTTACCAAACGATTATGGAGCACCTATTGAATATTTCTTACGAGCTGCACAATGGCAAAGAGCAGTCTCACCAAGGTTAGGTGTTCCACCAGCTCCTGTCAAAAATAGCATTTGGTCAAGTCCTTATATAAGATATGGTCTCCCACTAGGTTTGCTAGCTACAGCAGGAGCAGTAATGATGTTGAAAAGAAATAAAGCAAATGTTGTAAATAATACTGAAGTAGCTGAATTAACAAACTCCACACCATCGCCAAAACCAACGTCAAAACCAACGCCTTCACAAACAACACCTTCAATGACTCCTGAACCTATGAAAGTACAAACTCCTGTTCAAAAGTCAACTCCTAAACCGACTCCAACATTTAAACCAGAACCTACTCCTCAAATAAATCGTAAAACTCCTGCGTTTCCTTACTGAAAAAAATAACGTTATTTTTATTTAATATTAAATTTTTTATTTGATTGAAATGACGACTAAAGTCACTGAAGCAATGAAACAAAAGTTTTTGGTAGAATACATTAAATCAGGAACTATTCCAGAAGGTTTTTACATTCATACTATGAAGGATGGTAGAGTTCAGTTTAGAAAGATAAAGCAACCATTAGATAAAGAAGGAATTTTGAGAAAGATTAAACTTCATGAGGACAACATTGCTGAACTTAAGAAGAAGTTAGAAGAGTTGGAGAAAGGAAGAGAGTTATAAAGCAATGAATTCAACAGGTTAGAAATGTGGTTAGATCTAACATGCTAACATAAACTTTATTTTTGTGCTATGTTTTCATACGTGTGAAGGTAGTGATATCATTAATTTTTAAGTTTATTTTTTAAGTTTATTTTTTATTTTATTTTGGAGGTAATGGGTCAAAATATAACATTTCTACTCAGTAGGAATGAGACCCTTACTGACTATGTATTCGTTTAATGCTTGATGAAAACAATGGTACATATTATCGTATGGGTATACACAGCGTCTGTTTCCATCGTCGTCGTATATGTAGAACTCAAATCCAGTCCAACCTTCTTTTGTACAATATGTAGCTTTATTTAAGTATGCATTTATGTAGATAAGGCAATTTTCTTCATCGCTCCAGAAATAATTTTTGTTCTTTGTTGAAATAGTTTTCGTTCCTCTGCGACCATAAGGAATGTATGCAATGAACTTTGCGTCATATGGGATTGTAATATATTCAGGGTTTCTTTCATCGTCAATGGGTCTATCTTTGTTAAAATGCATGTTTCTCAGTTTTACTTGGGTCTTGAATAGTTCACGGAAACGTTCTGGGAAAGAGTCATAGTAAATGTAGTCGGACATGTCTTTGTAATGAAATAAAAAATTTTTAAAAAAATAAAATAAGGTTATTTTTATTTAGTGAGGACGGTAGTGAATTCGTTAGTGAGTTCGTTAGTGAATATTTAAGGTTAAGTTGGTGTTATGGTTCTGTTGTAAAATATACGTTAACGGTTTTGTAAAGTGTCAAACCGTTATCTTGGGTAAGGTGGAACGCAGTGCCACCGTAACCAAGATAGGGATACTAACTAGTATTAAAGTCAACCATTCTGAATGCAAGTGCCTCATTCTGTAGACCTAAGTTTGTTTGTAGTTTTACTGTCCCGTATTCGTTCGGGTCTGTACTTTGTAAATAGAACAACATTTTATTCTCATTAAAATATGAGTATAGCTGCATATGCGTATGAATCTGACAGAGCTAAACGTTTATATTTTGGTCAATACTCTCTCACACTTACTGACAAATATATTGTTATTTCTGATGGAAATACTGAGAAATATATAACATGGAAGGACTATGAAAAGTTTGACCCTATTTTAACTCCATGTACTATGCCATTCATTGTAAATGGTGAAGTTGTCATGAAGAACGACACAACTGTTTATAGGTCTGTATATGAAGCATTAGAATATATGTTGAATTATAATCCCGAAAGATTTGACCCAAGCACTACACCATGTGTAATGCCCTTTATTAAGGATGGTAAAATCGTAAGGGTTCCGAATTCAACGGTTTATACAGCTGTTCAAAACAGTTTACAAAACATTTTAGCGAATATCTTTAATTCAGAAACTACAGAAATAAAATTACCGTATATAACAGATGCTAAAGAAATTAAATCAAGAATTACAACATTATTTGCGTCACTTAACGATTTAATGACTTATATAATTAATACTCCCCAGCCGACTTCGGCATTTGACCCTAACTCGACGGTTTGCAGTGTGCCTTTCATTGATGACAGTTCAGTAATTGCTTTAAGGGATTCAACAGTTAATGAATCATTAAAGGCTTCATTAATGAAAATCATTGATTTTAACTCATTCATGAATACATATAATTCATTCATTAATGTTTCATACACTTCTAAAGAAGGTGAGCCAAAAACTATCGATAAAGCGGTGTATGAAATAAAAGCATCAATGACGAAATTGAATTCGTTAACTTTTGACGGTGATAGTTCCGTTAACAGCATGACATCAGGAAAAAACGATTTTAACGAAAGAATATTTAAAATCTCATGTTAGTGAGTTCGTTGAAATTGAAAAAGAAGGTGGAATTAAGTTCGATCCACTGGGTTTCATTTTCGACTTAGCGAATGCGGGTGTTAGTTTCGCTGAATGGACAACTATACAGAGTGAGATAAACGCCATATGGACGTTTTTGGGGTCGAAAGCGGGAATGGGTGAGCTTGTAGATGCTGCAAGAACATTAGGTGAAACGGGAAATTTTGTAGATGGTTTTAAAAGACTTGTTTCAAATGTTTTAACAAACACAAAGAAATTATTTAGATACACCGTACATAACGGACAGATTTTCGAACAGGTAGCAACAAACCCTCCGGTTATGGCTGCGTTGATGATGGCTAGAGACATAAAGCCGCGTAGCGGCGAGGGCAAAGCCCGTGAAGAAGAGGAGAAACCAGAGGATACGGGTCAGGTTATTCGAGACATTAAAAACGTGTATCCTGAAGTTATTGATTTATTTAGAGGTGTTAATGATTCGATTTCAAATCATTCTATAACCATTGATGAAGAGAATAAATTAACAGATTATATATTCGTCATTATTGCAGAACTAATGAAGAGAATAAATGAAAAAGGTATTGATGATATCATTAATGTAAGTGATGTAATGATGAAAAGAAATTTTGACTCATTATTTACAGAACCGAAAACAGAATACAGTCTTTATGATGTAATTACTGAATTAATGAAAAAGATTAATGATAATAAGAGTTCTGGCGGAAGAGTTGAATTAGAGGTGAATGATGTTAATGAGAAATTAGATAGTAAGGCGGACAAGAACCATGTTCATTATATAAGTTCAGATGAACAGATTATAACGGATTATCATGGATATTTAACACAGGATGAAAAAGTGAATACGAAAGATGTTAATGAAAGAAGATATAAATTCATTCGTGCTAAAGGTTATGACATACGCTGTACTGTACAGTATGACACAGGTAAAGCACCAGAAGCATTTGGTTATAACGCTGAAATTTATGCTTCATACTTCTTTGTTAACGGTGTATTAGTTGAACCAAGATTTACTTTGAGAGTTAAGGCAAAAATAACTTTTGAAGATGCTATTAAAAGTAAAGCTGACAAAGATGAACTTGACGCAACGAACAAAGTTTTGAAATCTCATAAACACAATATCTCCGATATAAATGAACTTCAAACTTCTTTAGACAGTAAAGCAGACAAAAACCATACACATGAATCCTTCACTACTGTTAGAGCAGACGACATAATATTGAACTATACTTTAGGTTCAAGTGCACCTTTAGAGAATCCAAGTACAAGCGTAAAAGATACACTAAACAGTTTAGATAACAGTTGCAGGAATATCGAAGGTCATGTCAGAAACTTTGAAACACATGAACTACCAGCCATTTTAGATAAGAAAGCGGACAAAAATCATACACATAACTCCTTCACAACTGTTGCTATAGAAAGTATTGAAGGAACGGTTGGCGGAACTGGTGGAGAGGGCGGAGCCCCGCCGCACGCGGCTGCTTTATATTATAAACCTCCTAACTTTCCACAAGGTTTAACATCGAATGAAAACATAACAACGAAGAAAGACATTAGATGTAAAAATGTTTATGTCATGGATGATGAAAATAACGTTAAATTCACTGCTCAAGATTTATATGACAACAAAGCAGATAAGGAATGGACATCGGAGACTTTTAAAGTTAAAGCTGATACAGGATGGGTTTCATGATGTTTAGACATTAAAGCAGATAAGGAATGGGTTAACAATGAGTTAGAGAAGAAAGCAGATAAGGAATGGACATCGGAGACTTTTAAAGTTAAAGCTGATACAGGATGGGTTTCAGGATGTTTAGACATTAAAGCAGATAAGGAATGGGTTAATACTAAATTAAATACAATTCTTCAGATGATTTATCCCATTGGTTCAATATATACATCAATGAATTCAACACATCCGACAAAATTATTTGGATTTGGTACATGGCAGCAAATAACCGATCGTTTCCTCTATTGTACTAATTCATCAAATCAAACAGGAGGCTCAAAAAAAATTAAAGAAGCAAACCTTCCACCACATAAGCACACAGGAACTACAAACTTTTCTGGCGACCATAGCCACTCATTAAAAGACCACCCATTATACAACTCAGACTATGAAGCTGGCAATGACGTTTTATCTCCATCTTATAACAATTCAGCAAAAAAGACTTTTCGACCAACTGAACCAGGAGGAAATCATGTCCATACTTTCACAACAAATCCAACAGGCTCGGGTGAAGATTATATGCCTCCATACATGACCGTTTATGCATGGTACCGCGTTCAATGAAATCTTTATTTTTACTTAAATGAGTTTGAAAGAAGTATTCGAACAACATCCATGGAGGTCATTTAAGAAATTCAATGAAGCTGCAAAGAGTTGGGGATTTACTAACAGAGCTGAAGTGAAAAGGTTCTTTGACAAAAATGTTGTACATCAAACAAAAATAAATCCTTACGACTACTTTTTACCAATTTACTCCAACACTCCAGACGCATACCAATTTGACACACTCATTCAAAGCAGAAAAGGAGGACATAAACCATTCCTCATCTTCATAAATGTTAACACTCGTAAAGCATATGCATATCCAATGAGGAACAAAGGAACTCGTGAAGTGTTAAGAGTTTTACAAAAGTTTGTAGCAGAACATAACCCAAGTACTTTAACATCAGACCAAGACAGTGCATACCTCAGCAATGAAATCACAGATTTTCTCATTAAGCATAACATAACTCACAACACTACTGAAGACCATAACCATAACATACTCGGTATCATTAACCGCTTCATAAGAACGCTCAGAGATTTAAACCAAGAGCGAGACTTTACCGAAGAAACAATGAAACACTTTCTCGAAGTTTACAATTCCTCAACACATTCTACAACAGGACATACACCAAATTCAATGACACAACAACAAGAAGAAAAGTATATACAAAAGAAACGAAGTCAAACACAAAATATCAGAAATTCAACACAATTTACCCTCATTCCTGGTACAAAAGTTCGTGTAGTTCTTGACGACAAACCATTGACAAAGAAACGTTTAAGGTTAAGTCGAAATTATTATATCGTAGACTCTACGCAAGGTAATGGATATCTTATAAAAGCTGCTGACGACTCCATAGCATTTTACCCTCGTCATAAATTAGTTGAAAGTAGTAATGGCGAACTTGCTGAAACCATTGACGAAGCAAAGCGAGGAGTGGTTATTGAAATACTTGGCTACAACACAAACGATGACACTTATAAAGTAAGATATGAAGGAGGCGTTGAAGATGTTATACCATCTAAGAACTTGAGAGAGTCAAAGCCAACACATCTGGGACCATTAGAGCGGGAGTATTGGAAAGACAAAAATATGCCAGAAAGAATAAGAAAATTCTTCTAAACTTTTCATTAGATGTAAATCAGACATGAACGAGAACAGTCATGATATCATTAATGGTACCATTTATTTTAGCATAAATGACCTAAATTTATGAATTTTCATGTATTTTCTCAAGATAGAAAAAATAACGCTAGTTTTATTTTTATTTATTTTTTTTTTATTTTGTATGTAAGAACAGAAATGTCAGTCGAAGCAAAAACATTCACTAACAAATCTAATGGCGAAACATTCACAAAAGGCACTTATAACGGTATTGAAGTCTTACGTAGAGACAAGGATGGTTATATAAATGCAACAAATATGTGTCAGCAGTTTAGGAAAGACTTTAGAAAGTTGTTGGAAAATAAGTCCTGGGAAGAGTATTATAAGGCATTTTGTGAAGAATATAGCAACAGTCCGAATTCCGGCGGTTGCTTTTTATACAAAATTCATGCAGGAATTCCTGATGAAATCAAACAGGTTAGAGGAACGTATGTAGACCCAGGACTTATAAACTATATAGCAATGTGGGCTTCTCCAAAATATTGCATAGCAGTTGGAAAAATTATGGACTCCATAGACAAGAAAGTTCATGAGAAGTTAGATGAAGAAGAACTCGAAGATACAGTAGAGAATGCAAAACATTTGTTTGAAGAAGAAGTTAGAAAAATGCGCGAAAAACAATTAGAACATGAACGTGAGATATGTTATGGTTATAGAGACTCTCCATACGAACTAGACCAATGGGAACAAGACGATTTAAAGAGAGACTATAGAGAGTATGAACTAGCTAAAATTTCATTAGAAGCTGCAGAAAATAAGTTAAAAGTTTGGGGTCGTTTTGTACAAAAATATTGTGAGTAAATGAACTCATGGGCTTCGCCCTTGCCGCTAGAGTTAGTATCCCTATCTTGGGTACAGCGGCACTGCGTTCCACCTTACCCAAGATAACGGTTTGACACTTTACGAAACCGGTAACGTATATTTTACAACACAAACGACAACACCAGCTTAACCTTAAATATTTGCAAAACCGTCTGACACATAAACGAGTTCACTAATGACTTCACTAATGACTTCACTAATGACTTCACTAACGAACTCACTAACGAACTCACTAATGACTTCACTAATGACTTCACTAAATAAAAAATAACCTTATTTTTATTTTTTTTAAAATTTTTTATTTCATTACAAAGACATGTCCGACTACATTTACTATGACTCTTTCCCAGAACGTTTCCGTGAACTATTCAAGACCCAAGTAAAACTGAGAAACATGCATTTTAACAAAGATAGACCCATTGACGATGAAAGAAACCCTGAATATATTACAATCCCATATGACGCAAAGTTCATTGCATACATTCCTTATGGTCGCAGAGGAACGAAAACTATTTCAACAAAGAACAAAAATTATTTCTGGAGCGATGAAGAAAATTGCCTTATCTACATAAATGCATACTTAAATAAAGCTACATATTGTACAAAAGAAGGTTGGACTGGATTTGAGTTCTACATATACGACGACGATGGAAACAGACGCTGTGTATACCCATACGATAATATGTACCATTGTTTTCATCAAGCATTAAACGAATACATAGTCAGTAAGGGTCTCATTCCTGTTGAGTAGAAATGTTATATTTTTGTTCTGTCATTTATATAAAAATAATTTTAAAAAATAAACTTAAAAATTAATGATATCACTACCTTCACACGTATGAAAACATAGCACAAAAATAAAGTTTATGTTAGCATGTTAGATCTAACCACATTTCTAACCTGTTGAATTCATTGCTTTATAACTCTCTTCCTTTCTCCAACTCTTCTAACTTCTTCTTAAGTTCAGCAATGTTGTCCTCATGAAGTTTAATCTTTCTCAAAATTCCTTCTTTATCTAATGGTTGCTTTATCTTTCTAAACTGAACTCTACCATCCTTCATAGTATGAATGTAAAAACCTTCTGGAATAGTTCCTGATTTAATGTATTCTACCAAAAACTTTTGTTTCATTGCTTCAGTGACTTTATTTGTCATTTCAATCAAATAAAAATTTTAATATTAAATAAAAATAACGTTATTTTTTCAGTAAGGAAACGCAGGAGTTTTTCGATTTATTTGAGGCGTGGGTTCTGGTTTAAATGTTGGAGTCGGTTTTGGAGTTGACTTTTGAACAGGAGTTTGTACTTTCATAGGTTCAGGAGTCATTGAAGGTGTTGTTTGTGAAGGCGTTGGTTTTGACGTTGGTTTTGGCGATGGTGTCGGAGTTTGTTCAAATTCAGCTACTTCAGTATTATTTACAACATTTGCTTTATTTCTTTTCAACATCATTACTGCTCCTGCTGTAGCTAGCAAACCGAGTTGGAGACCATATCTTATATAAGGACTTGACCAAATGCTATTTTTGACAGGAGCTGGTGGAACACCTAACCTTGGTGAAACTGCTCTTTGCCATTGTGCAGCTCGTAAGAAATATTCAATAGGTGCTCTATAATCGTTTGGTAAAGTTTGTTTCACAGATGGTGAAGGTTCACGAGAGCTTGATGAAGAACCCATTTATAAGCTTTAAAAATAAACGTTCATCCTTTATTCCTCACTGTCGTCCGCTGCTAAGTTATAGTCGTCAAGTCTTATTATTGGTATGCCTGACTGTCTTACTTGTATTGTAAAGCAACAATCCCTCATAAATCCAATAAGTGGCTTTGGTACATTTTCAGTTGCTAGTTCAATAGGTCCTTTAACAGACAATTTGTATGTTATTGGAGCAGTAGATGTTTGACCTTGCTGGAAGCAAAAGTCCACTTCAGTTGGAAAACCACATAAGAAATGTGTGTTGTCATAGCTATCCCATTTATGTTCCACACTACCATCATCCACCAATGACCTCATAACATCTTCATTAAATCCTATCATATCATTGTTTGTATTGCAAGCGTTCGCAACCATTTCATAAAATACAGGTCCATATGATTTTTCAGGTTCTGCAGGCATATTTCCATAAGCTCCCATGGAAAGCTGAAGATATTTAAACTTAGGGTTCTCAAAATTAACATAATAGTTGTCTTTCTTTCTAAATAGTGCCCAAATACTTTTAACATTAATAGGCGTATAAGCTGCTGTAAATGTTGCACTTGAACTATCTGTATTCTTTGAGAATGAACCGTCCATAGGAATCCAATCCATAACTTTAACAGGAAAACATAAAGCCTCGTTTGTATAATGTTCTACAAGTTCTGTATAAATGTTAGGGTCTAAAGAGAATGACTTTGGATGAATAAAACATTCATTAAAATCCATCTTTGTTCGAAATAGTT